AGTTCCTACACTACATCTCCCCAGAAGCATCAGGTATGCCAGGTAGAGAAGACTATACAAAGAGGAGGAAGATTGGCATTCAGGGCAATGTATTGACCTCTGTGAGGATGGTGAGGAGGACCAGTTCTCAGCAGTCGACACCAGTGGTCTATGTCACCTCTCCACACCAGTCAAGGAGTTTCCTATAACCAGCTCACCTGGAGAGTAGCTGACAAGGAGCTGGGGGTGGGGCGAATAGAGAACTGACGGGGAAGATTCTAGGGAGCAGTGGGGGAACCCCTAGTGAAAGGAGATGAGGAAGAGAAGATAAGGAGGGCATGGACTGCTGGCAAGAGAGGAGCCAGAGTGGGAGGCCTGTGAGGCAGAGACGGGAGTGAGTACAACAAAAGACGACCCCCGCAATGGCTGGGAGCTGGTGGAGAGGGAGGAAGCTGAGCATCTGCACTGGGCCAAACCATCATGGAAACCTTCCTTCTGGGGAGAGCAGCAGAGGTGGGAGACTTTAAAGGGGCAGAGATAATTGAAAGAGGTGTACCTGCTCCACCTTGGGAATAACAGAGTCCGAAGTCCCACAACCCCAACCTGTGGATATAATCCTGCCTGACCTGGAACAAGCAGACAGTGAGATGATCGTCTGTGGAAAGGTCGGGCTGGTGATTAACTATCCCTGCTGCAGAACTCCCAGCCTTGGGCATCTCCAGCGCATTCTCCAAGTTTTAGAGTAATGCGGATGTACCCTCTCAAGAACCTCTAGAATAAGAGGGTTAAAGCACCTGTTAAAGAAGTTATTAGGAACAGTTAAATGTTGAACTTCTTTGTTTGTACCCTATTGGATCCAAGTTAAATAAGCCCATATTGATATAACACTTTGGTTTCTGCACATGGACGGTTGACAGGAAGACAGCTTAGTGGGGCACATGGGGGTCACTGGAGGCAGTTGCAACCTTTCAGCTTTCACCCTCTTCAAGAGTGGGAGTACTGTTCAAGAGGTGTAGACTGGATGACTCAGTCCCCAGTCTTTGTTCAAGCAAGCATGGTAGTGTGTTGAATAACTGCTGTGGATGGTCATAGCATGAAGATTTTAGGACCTCAGTCCCCAGTCTTTGTTCAAGCAAGTGTGTTGAATAATGCTGTGGATGGTCATAGCATGAAGATTTTCAAATGACTTTCAGATGTTCTTGTCGCTTCTGGTCTTGAAGCCTATTCTTGTGCCACAGAAATATGGCTTTACTGGATTTTCCCTTACTCAGTCCATTGGTGCTTGCCTGCCTGCCTGCCTGCCTCCCACCCTCAGATTTATATCTTTCTTAGATTTCATATTTGTTTTGGAACTTACATTATTTTTCAACGAAAAACATGGAAAATCAGCAATCAACTCAGACTGCACTCTAGAAACAGTAATTGGGACTATTGTAAACTGCAATTAAGAGACCTGTATCATAATGAAAAGCAAACAATTTTGAAGAAGGTAGCAAGAAGGAATTTTAATTTTTCTGAACAGTCAGGAGACTTGGCTGAATGAGATGGACTGCCATGTGAATATTTTGGCCGTGAAACTGAGGATTTTTGGATAACATAGCACTAACTTCAGTGCCATGTGAAGCAATCCTTTTTGTTCTTTTTCCAACACATGTTTCAGAACCACTAAAAGGTCCTAGAGTAGAAACAATAGGACAGAACAATAATGAGATCCAAAGACCTAAATAGCATGTATCCTGAAGTCCTTCTGAAAGAATAAATACGCGAGAGTTCAGCACCATGCTTAAAAACTGATTGTTTAAAAACCTATGTCCCACTTCTTTTTCTCATCTTAGTTTTCACTGCAGTTAAAATGAAATATATTCTCAAACCTCTCTAGTGCAGAAACTTACGTTTATTACATGAAAATGCAGTAACTAATCATATATGATCAAATCCTTTTCCAAAGCATAAAATTAATCAATATACCGAATATTTATAATTTAAACACTTATTCTTGCACTTTTTTTTTTTGGATGCCATTTTTTTTTCAACATGGCCGCGCATTCAGGTGCTGCAGCTCAGTGCTCTTCGACTTGGCGTTCTTTATGGATGTTTTTGTGTGTATTATCTTGTGTTGTCTATACCTCCGGCGGAGTGAATATACTCTACAGCAATTGTGAACTTATGAGGATTGGACTGCAATGTAAACAAGAGATAACAGCTAAGTTTATTTGGAAACATGGCATACCATCAGAGATTGCAAGGTCCCCTGGCTCTCTGTGGACTGTAATTCCAGCAAAAGCGAGAGTGAGAAGGAAAAGGAAACGTAAGGAGAGGAAGAAAAAAAGGGGCTGCAGGGCTGGTGTTTTGTATAGGCTGCAAAAACAGACAAAGCGACTACCACTCCCAAGTCTCTTTCTGACTAATGCCAGATCAGTGGCAAACAAGATGGATGACTTAAGGTTACAGGTCTCCTCAAGTAAGTTTGTGAAAAACTGTTGCGTGCTGTTAATCACTGAAACCTGGCTGAACCCCACTATTCCAAACACTGTTATTGATATGGAAGGTTTTTTATTACATCGTTTGGACAGAGACAGGAATGTGGGGAAGTGCAGAGGAGGAGGATTGTGCGTGTTTGTTAGAGAGAGCTGGTGCACAAACTCAGAGATTATAACACGTCATAGCTCTTTGGAGCTGGAATATCTGTCTGTTAAATGCAGACCTTTTTACCTTCCACGGGAATTCAGCGTTGTTATTATTCTTGTTGTTTATATTCCGCCGGATGCAAATGCGGATTTGGCGCTGGGTCATCTGGGCGATGAAATTGGCAACTTGCAAAGTAAATTTCCGGATGCTGTATACATTATTGCAGGAGACTTCAATCATGTAGATCTACGTGCAGTCCTCCCCAAATTCCATCAACATGTAAGGTGTGCTACTAGGGGGCTGAACACCTTAGATAAGGTCTACACGAATATTGCAAATGGATACAGGATATTACAATTGCCACACTTGGGCCAGTCTGACCATATGTCCCTGTTTTTAGCTCCGGAGTATATTCCTCTGAGAAAACAGTCAGGGCCAGTAGTCAAGACAGTGAAAAGCTGGCCGGAGGGAGCAATGGAGCAGTTAAAGGACTGTTTTGAACAAACAAATTGGGAAATTTTTGATTCATCGTTAAACAAGGCACTCGTTAAGCGAGGCACCACTGTATTTATAATTTAAACACTTATTCTTGCACTTTATCTCTTACCTCTAGTTACAGTACAAATGCAGGAGTAGCTTTATGGACCACTAAAGAAACCATACAAACTGATAGCTTTCATAGATCAGAAGTCCACTTCCTCAGACAATGTACCAATGTTACAACAATTTCAAAGAAAAATAAACTGATATCTAAGCTTGCTTACATATGCTGTTGCTTAACCATGATTTACAAAAGGGTAGCCACAATCAGCAGGTACCTACAACAACACTCCTACATATAAGAATGACCGTGTTTGTAAGAAGATATTGCTAGGAGGGAACATTATAAAGATCTACAATATTCTGCATGGTAGGGAGAAAGAATTTGTTCTGTCAACCAGGGAAACCGAATTGTGAGAAACGAAGGGCTTATTCACACAACAGATATTTTAAGTATGAAATCCATTGACACAAGAGACAGTTCACCATTAAATATGGCTATAAAAAGAGATTAAATGCACTAATGGAAGAACTTTGACATGATTTCCATATATGATAGCATGCTTTTGAATAGCAGTTATTGACGGATACCATCAAGGGACAACTGTTGTCCATATGTTTGGTGGATAACTTCCCATTTGTACCTGGTGGGCTGGTGATATGGGGAAACAGAATGTTACACTGGACAGAACATGAGTCTGGGAAGCAGGGCTTTTTTGTGTTCATAAAGTTTCTCAAGGCAATCTATATATCTGTGCACCAAGTCTGCTTAGAATTTTCCAGTTCTACTTCTATGGACATTTCAGTTGTGTACATATTGTCTGTGAGAAGACAATGTCTTGGCTCAAAGAAATATCCCTCCAGTAACAGTCAACATTCAGTGGTTACATTAAAATTAGCAGAGCTTTTTAAAATAAAAATCCTCACTAGAGATCTTGAAAATTAAAATACAGTGGGAAATTAGTTCTATATATTTTCATGAACTCAAGAGGAAACAGTAGAATTAGAAATTTAAAATTGAACAATGTACACCCTGAAAATTACCAGATACTAGGTACAGTAGTACCTCAGTTTATAAAATTTATGTGTTCTACAGCAGTGGTCCCCAACCTTTTTAGCCCCATGGACTGGCTGCGGAAGGAGGGGCACCCCCCTGTGGTCATGCACATGTGCAAAGGAGCAGGGGTGCTTGTGCGGGTGTGCTTATGCACATGCACAAAGGGCAGTGCAGCGCTCGTGTGCATGCACAAAGGGCAGTGTGGCGCTCAGGGGGCACTCATGTGCATGCGCAAAGGGGTGAAGTGCTCATGTGGGTGCAGGTGCACACGCACAAGCGCAAACAGGCTGCGCGGGGGAAGTGTGCGGGGGGTTGGGGGAAGTCTGTCTCCCCAGCCCGATCCAGCTGAGGCCACGGCCCACACAGGGCCACAGACCAGGGGTTGGGGACCTCTGTTCTATGGGACATTATGTAAAGCGAAAAAATTGTAAACCAGGACGCAGTTTGCCATAGGAATGGGGGCAGCGCTATAAACCTCCAGGCATAATGCATCCTGGGAAAACTTTCTTCATAAGCTGAAACAAACAAACAAAATGTAAACCGAGGCATTATTTTCAATGGATTTCCATTTGTAAACCAAAAATTATGTTAACCGAGGCATTTGTAAACCAAGGTACTACTGTATATTCAATGTAAGTATTTTCTATACATAGATACAGAAGTATATACTTTTTGCTAAACTTCACTACTTGATTGCATACATCTTACACAAGAGAAAGGGCAGCAAAGCTGAGATAAAAATATTCACATTATTACTTTTCAGCTCACAGTTTACTTCAAAACAGATCATCATTACCTGACAATGAGCATCACAGTATCTTGCGACTTTGCACTGAGAACACCGAAGCAGCTGCTTCTTACTGTGGACAGGGGGATAAGAAAAATTAATTATTTTCCATATTAAAGAGAACAATTTTCAATTAAATACATTTCAATTTTAAAACAATACACAAAGACAGATGCTAGAATAACAGATCAGAAACTGGAGAGCATTTTTCAGGCCAGGTTCAAAATATATTAGGCTGTTTTTTGGAAAACTGGGAGAACAGAATTTAAACCACTGTCATTTTGCAAGATATAGAGACTGCCATACAGTCTGATGGTATGTAACCCTAGGCTTTAATCCTAGCAAATTGTATTGTTTGCAAATATGACCTATGGTTTTAGCAATTTGGGGCCTGGTTCTTCAGCTGTGGTGAAATTGCAGTGAGGAAAAAAAAAGCCATGATCATGTTCCCACATTATGACCTTCAGACCAAAGCTAGTTGCATCACCTCTAGGTTAAGATATGAAACTGGCTGAAGTTTAAAAATGGTGCATTCAAACAACTAAACGTATTTTTCCCCAAAGTGGTATATTCAATAGGGGGGAAATAGTTTCAACTTGAGCTAAAATGGTGCATTCAAACAACTACGTAAACGTATTTTCCCCCGAAGTGGTATATTCAATAGGGGGGAAATAGTTTCAACTTGAGCTTTCCTATATTTGACAGACCAGGAGGTAATTATATTAACTCTACTTGACTATCAACAAACAATAAAATTTCTGGAGGAACAAAAAGAATGACTGCACAAAATTATGTGACTATTTCAAGGATGCTCATTCCCAGAGAAGCGTTTCTAGCACTAGGGGGCAACGTATGGCCTATGGAACATATGCAGGCTTCTCCCGCCTTGCTTCCATATTTAGGGGCCCTGCCATACTATCAATTTCCTATGTGTTTTGTTTGAAAACACACCCTTTTCTGTTGCTGGTGCACTGAATGTTGATAGCATGGAAGCCAGAGGCAGCTCCCTAGCCTATGCAGTCCCCCCACTGCTATATATTGTTCATCTTGGTACATATGATTGTCTCTTCCTCTGAATCTGATATGCTTGTTTGTGCTCATACTGTTTTTGCACTGTGCATGCAAACAATTCATGCTATTCCCAAAGGGTCTTTAAGAAGTAGCTATTTGAGACAAGTTGAAATCCTGCAATCTGCATGGGAAATGCTCCGCTTTTCTCTGGTAAGACTGAAGGGAAAGAAATAGCATTCTTGTTCTTTTCTCATGCAGCCCACGAACAAAATACTCTGTTGAACCGAAGAGCACCACCAAAGTGTTTTGCAGTAAACAACACAGTGGGATACTGTTTCTCATTGGAACTAAAAAAAACAGGATATTCTTCTGCAAGCGAAAACACAGCAACTGATTCCAAACCTTATGTGCCTGAAGCAAGTTTCCTGCTGAGACTCTGTAGACACTTTGAGTAATGGCAGATATTTTTACGCAAACACCCGCAGAAATATAACATTGTGTTAAAGTTTTGTCTGAAATAAAGTAGCTTTCAAAAATTCACGTATTAGAAAATAAATAAGATTCAGGACATAGGAAGGGAAACAGATAAAAATGGATAGAATAATTAAACTAGCAGTATATTTGCACACCTTAGCCAGGATTCCTAAAACTGGCTATTAATAGCATGTTGACTAGGCTGTTAGGTGAACTACAGAAATCTGAGGAAGTGTCTGCCTCCATCATCCATAGCCTTGTCTACGGACTCTCTGGCAGACTCTCCAAAGGCCCCAGTCAGAGGACAGCCTGAAGGCAAAGATACTAAGAGATGGCATTTGGGCAGGGAGGGGGAAATGGAGGAGCAACAGCCCCAGAAGGATGGCACAGGCCTGCTGGTTGCTGAGGATGGGACCATGGCAGAGGGACAGTACAGGACTGTGTGAAGCCAAAATAAAGCCTGCTGCAAATAAAGATCTGCCTATTGAGCCCATGGTAGAAGACGTATCACTGCCCAGGAGGGGGAACTGGGAAACAAAGCAACACTTATCAACCTAAATAAATGGTTGTTGTGGGTTTTTCGGGCTCTTTGGCCGTGTTCTGAAGGTTGTTCTTCCTAATGTTTCACAAGTCTCTGTGGCCGACATCTTCAGAGGACAGGGCAGAGCACAAAGCCAAAGAGCCCGAAAAACCCACAACAACCATTAGATCCTGGCCATGAAAGCCTTCGCGAATAAATCTAAATAAACATTTGGCAAAAAAGAGAAAATAGATTATTGGGGAAAATTCAAAGAAAGGATAAAAATTAAATAGGTATACCAACATTTAATTGATTAATCAACTAGAGTAAAAGTGTTCCCAAATGATAGAACAGAGGATTTAATTAGCTAATTAGGCGATCAGAATTTGTAAGTGCAATCAAACTAAGAAGACTAAAATTGTGACTATGGGAGAACTACACAACTTTAATATCACCTATAAAGAAATTGAAATAATGAAAGATTTGTATATTTTGGTTTAATTACCGTATTTTTCGCTCTATAAGACGCACCTTTCCATAAGACGCACCGATTTTTTTGGAGAAGAAAACAGGAAAATATGATCTGTTTTCTTCGCTCCATAAGATGCACAGACTTTCCACCCCCCTGTTTTGTGGGAAAAAAGTGAGTCTTATGGTGCAAAAAATATAGTATCAGTCCCAATGGATACTGTAGCCAGGAAATCAGTCTTTATATTCATCAGGAATGTAATTTCATTTGTATTTTGGCACTATTATTCTTCTAGTGTTTATTTTAGCTTTATTCTAATATTAGATACTAACAATTCATGATCAGTATCATAATCTGTTCCTGGTCTTGTTCTGGCAAAGAGAATACAGTTTTTCCATCTCCTGCTTCTAATTACACAGTCCATTTGATTTCTATATTTTAGATTAGGCACCACTCAGTCTCGAGAGACTATGGTAACGTGCTCTGAATAGAGGACTTCGAACAGCATCTAGTGTGGCTGAGAAGGCCAATTCGAGAGTGACAATCCCTTCCACACTGAAGACAAATACAGTCTGTCCCCTGTCTAGCTCCCTGATTTTGCTGGTTTCGGGACTGCCTCTTTGCCTTGGCCTGCTGGACAAGTGTCTCTTCAAAATGGGAGAGGTCGTGATGCACTGCCTGCCTCCAGGCTGAATGCTCAGATGTCAAGGTTTCCCATCTGTTGAGGTCCATTCCTAAGGCCTTCAGATCCCGCTTGCAGATATTCTTGTATCACAGCTGTGGTCTCCCCTCTGGGGCGATTTCCCTGCACTAATTCTCCATACAGGAGATCTTTTGGAATCCGACCATCAGCCATTCTCAAAACATGCCCAAGCCTATGTAGATATTACTGTTTCAGCAATGTACATGTTTAATTATCAATCCAAATGGATAATGTAGCCAGGAAATCAGTCTTTATATTCATCAGGAATGTAATTTCATTTGTATTTTGGCACTATTATTCTTCTAGTGTTTATTTTAGCTTTATTCTAATATTAGATACTAACAATTCATGATCAGTATCATAATCTGTTCCTGGTCTTGTTCTGGCAAAGAGAATACAGTTTTTCCATCTCCTGCTTCTAATTACACAGTCCATTTGATTTCTATATTTTAGATTAGGCACCACTCAGTCTCGAGAGACTATGGTAATGTGCTCTGAATAGAGGACTTCGAACAGCATCTAGTGTGGCTGAGAAGGCCAATTCGAGAGTGACAATCCCTTCCACACTGAAGACAAATACAGTCTGTCCCCTGTCTAGCTCCCTGATTTTGCTGGTTTCGGGACTGCCTCTTTGCCTTGGCCTGCTGGACAAGTGTCTCTTCAAAATGGGAGAGGTCGTGATGCACTGCCTGCCTCCAGGCTGAATGCTCAGATGTCAAGGTTTCCCATCTGTTGAGGTCCATTCCTAAGGCCTTCAGATCCCGCTTGCAGATATTCTTGTATCACAGCTGTGGTCTCCCCTCTGGGGCGATTTCCCTGCACTAATTCTCCATACAGGAGATCTTTTGGAATCCGACCATCAGCCATTCTCAAAACATGCCCAAGCCTATGTAGATATTACTGTTTCAGCAATGTACATATGTTAAAAATTCCAGCTCGTTCTAGGACTGCTGTATTTGGAACCTTGTCCTGCCAGGTGAGACCAAATATGTGTTGGAGATAATGCATATGTAACATGTTCAGCTTCATTTCCTGCCGTGCATGAAGGGTCCAGGACTCATTGCAGTACAGGAGTTTACTCAGGACACAGGCTCTATAGATCTGGATCCTGGTATATGCTCAGAGTCTCCTTTGCTCTTATGCACTGTGATGATGTTTGTATCCTTCATGTCCTGTGGTACTCCACCTTCCCTCCAGCACAGACAAAACATTTCTATATTTACCATCTGGTAATATCCATATGCACTCTCCTCTTTTACCTTAATAATGATGAAAGGGGAGAGTATAGGAGACTCTTGTGAGTGCCTTGGACTGCAAAGAGAACAAACATATCCATTTTGAAGGAAGTCAACCCTGAGTGTTCACTGGAAGGACAGATCCTGAAGCTGAAGCTCCAATACTTTGGCCATCTCATGCGAAGAAAAAACTCCCTGGAAAAGACCCTGATGTTGGGAAAGTGTGAAGGCAAGAGGAGAAGGGGACGACAGAGGACGAGATGGTTGGAGAGTGTCACCAAAGCTACCAACATGAATTTCACCCAGCTCCGGGAGGCAGTGGAAGACAGGAGGGCCTGGCATGCTCTGGTCCATGGGGTCACGAAGAGTCGGACACAACTTAACGACTCAACAACAACAAAAACAATATCCATATGTACAGTGATCCGTTCAGTTGCTTTAAGCATATACAGGTTTTGCAAGAAATAATTACTGACTTCACAGACCTCTATAAGTAATTTTCCTGCTTTGTTTCTGATTCCCAGACCGAATTTTCCAATATTTGGTTTTGCTTTGTTCTCTTTTTTTGCATTCCAGCAATATTTTTATTATATTAATATTAGCATGCCTTGTTTAGGTATATAATCAGCAGGGCTTGAAAATTTTTAGAATGTCTTTACCA